TGTGCTCTCTCTCTCTCATTCTCTCTGTCTCAAATAAATAAATAAAATCTTTAAAAAAAAAAAAAAGTTACTTTTCAGAAAAAGATAAAGTGATCCTTAGGAAATACAAGGAATGGAGAAATAAGTTAACACCTCCAGGTGACAAACAGCTGAATCCAAATGTGGGACACTTTGCAAGATGAATGACCTGATTTCTTTAGAAATCTTCAGGAGGAAAAAAGAAGGGGGGGGAACCTCATAAAAAGCTTAAGAAACTTAACACCAAATTCAGTATATGACCCCTTTTAGATCCTCTTAAAAAAAAAAAAAAAAACCTAACTATAAAAAGCTGTTTTTCAGACAATGTAGGAAACCTGAATACCAACTGGGTATTAGATATTAAGGAATTACTGTTGATTTTGTTAGGACAATGGCATTATGGTCATGTTAAAACAAAAGTGACTGAAAACTGCTTTCATATTCGAATAGTATAACACAGTGCACTCTTTATAAACCGTTAATAGTAGAAGAGCAGAATGAGGGGTGGGATGGAGAGATCATATGGCATCCAAATCAGACTGAAAAGTCTGAAATTGAATCTCTTTCCAAAGCTCATATGAATTTCTGCTCAAATCTGTCTTCCATAAAAGAAACATGAGCACTAGATACCCAACTCCGTGACAACTTGAGAAAACACTGGCCGTGCACTAGAGTCAAAGCAAGCAAAATAACTGACAAACCAAACCTTCCACGGTAAGGCAAACACAGAAGCAAAACGGAACAAAGAGAAGCATAATGTTTCTTAGGAAGTCCAAAGCTTCTCTCACTTCAGTATCAAATTTGAGGGAAATCCCTGTATGGTTTAGTGTTCAAATTTTTGGTTGAAGTAATTCCCCTAAGAACGTTTACCTCTATTACTTATTATCTTAAGCCATCTTCCATGTTAACATGCACTTCTTTAAAAAACACAAGACTCAAATACGCTGATCTCCTGAGATTCGGTTAACCATTTTTGCCTCCCTGGGTGGTTCTGTATGCTATACTGATTTCCTCACTTGAAAGGATATAAAGTTCCTCCTTTTGTCAGTTTAACTTGCAATTATTAGCCAAATCTTCACATAAATTTACAAATACAGATTGAAAATTCACTAAGCCAACCATTTCCATAGGGAAAAAATGGAGAACAGAAGTAGGAGAATCATTTTCACTTCTTGGTATACATTGTTACTTGCTCTCTCCTCCCCAAAAACCTATCATCCCTTACACTACTCACCATGAAATCTCTGCAATAGGTATTCCATGAGAGAAGTCAGTGGTAAGACCAGGAGAGCCAAAGCAAAGGCTACATTAAAATTAAGAAATCCATTAATCAAATAGAAATACCAGGGTTCCGTACCTGAGGGAAACAAACAGATAAGAAATCATTAGTGGATGCCTTCAACACCTTTACAGTGCTTGACTCAAAATGTTCTTTGTTCAAGTAATGTCAATAGTCCGATGTCTCAAGTTACTGAGTCCACAAGGGGAACTCAGTTCCTGAAGCTCAGCCACACAGGGAAAGCATAAGAGCCGAAGATGGGAAGAGAATAGGATTGGTCACTTCTCCAGAACAACCAAATAATTTAAATAGCTTGGTGGTGATACTGGATTTATAATAAGCAATTTATATTTGGTCTTCATCCCCATTCCTGGCAAAGAGCTCCTAAAACCCTTGGAATTTCCTAATCGATAAGAGTGATAAGGGTGTCTTCTGTTAATTATGAGATTTGGGGAAAGCCCCAAGGTAGCCTAAGGATGGGGACTGATGGCCAGGGAAACCAACCATGGGACTGAGGGGTTAGAATTTTCAGTTCCACCTTGATGACCTCCAAGGAGAGAGGGGCTGGCAATAGAGTTCAATCACCAATGGCCAATGATTTCACCAATCTGCCTATGTAATGAAGCCTCCATACAAACCCAAAAGGACAGGCTTCAGAGAACTCCAGGTTAATGAACACACAGAATTGCGAGGAGTGTGGTGCTCCTGGAAGGAACAGGAGTTCTGAGCTCCAGCCCACAAAGCTTGCCCTATGCATTTCTTCCATCTGGCTATTCACTTGTATCCTTTATAATATCCTCCCTAATACGCTGGTAAATTTAGGTAAATTTTTCTCTAAGTTCTCTGAGCCACTCTAGCAAATTAACTGAACCCCAAGAGGGGGCTGTTGGAACTTCCCATCTACAGGTGGTGGGTCAGAAGGGACCATCTGTGGACTTGGGATTGGTCTCTGGAGTGTGTGTGGCAGGGGGAGGAGGGGGCAAGTCTTGCAGGACTGAGCTATTCAGGCCTTTCCCCGTTTTATTCTCACTTGTTTGACCCACTCACATTCTAGGATCTTTCCCTTTGATATGCTTAACCACTGTTCTATAGTCATGTATACAGGGAACCCTGCATTTGGTAAAAAGCAGTAAGTTGTTTTCCCTAGGGAAATAATGTTCACAGACCCAGATCCTGCTTAGAAGTTTTGAGGACTCAGAATGAAACAAAATGACTGAAAACACAAGCCTTATTCACGCAAGTTTTGATTCTTTAACGCGAAATCCTTAAGCCCAGATGATGAGAACCAGCCCTCCTCTGCACATTTAGCAGGTTTTTCATCTGCTCTTTCCCGTGTGATTACTTCAATCAGGCAGTGAATGACACACGCGGGTTTTAATCACTGTGTTGATACCCGCCTTGCACCACAGCCATTTCCTGCAATCAGCATTGCTTAAAAGGGTAATCAGAAGGCAGAGAAAGAGTCAGAAAAGCCTGACATTTTGCAGCTTGCACAGCAAAGTAAGATTAGAAACCAAACCCGTAATGCTAGAAACATTTAGGGGAGAAGAGGGAGGGGGTGCCCTAAGGAAAGACTCAACTTCAACTGTGTGTCACCTTTTGGGAAAGCTCACTCCTTTCTGTCTAAGCACAGTGATGGTGATCATGAACAGAGGTCCTGTCCCAGGCCAAGTTCATTAGAGACATATTTATACCCAGTATTCTCTACAAATCACCTTTTGGCTTCAGAAAACTGAAGATTTTCATACAGAAATACGTATCTTCTCTGGATTTTAATTAGTATTTAACAACACATTTCCTAAGTTGAGTCTTTTAGGATCCAGTTTCCAGAAAGGCAGTTTTGTGGTTTTTTATTGTCTTTTTTTTAAGTAGGCTCCACGCCCAGCAAGAAACCTGACGCAGGGCTCGATCTCACAACCCTGAGATCAAGACCTGAGCCGAGATCAAGAGTCGAACACTTAACTGAGCCACACAGGTGCCCCAAGAAAGATAGTTTTTTGTATCATCTCCTGACCACCAATGTGGTGGCAGCAATATCAACTTTGACCTGCCTTTTTCCTAAACAAATTTTGGAAATCTGAGCCTGAGAAGAAAAACCAGAGTGACTAGGAGAAATGATGTCACCTTTCACATCATCTTTTACAGATGCTAATAAGCATCAAGAGGAAAAAAAAAAAAAAAAAAAAAGCCTCTTTCTCTTTGATCCTTACAAATACATATTGTTTTTTCAGAGAAGCACTTTATTTCCAGCAAATATTTGTCTCTACCACAACTTATTATACCCTCCTACTAGGGCTATCTTTTTACCTAGGTATACTGTACTCTGAGATTCTGAATCAAAAGTATTAAGTTGGTAAACTCAACTATGTTTATCTGTTAGGAATTCATAGATCAAGTTCACAGTTAGGCTATGAACATTTCATAATCGACTGTTACTTCCTGGAAGAACTGGGTAAAAATTGGAGGATAAGCCAAGAGTGGGGAAGGTTCAAGAGGCAACAGTCTTAAAAACAAGGGCAAAAAGGGACAAAAATAGTGAATTCTGCAGCCAGTGTCCTCCCCTACTTGATGAGACACCTGCCTTAAAAGAGAAAAGAGGAAAAACTTTTATCTCTTTCCAGGGAGATACTTGATGCTATTTCTCGGAAAGTATCAAAGCTGAACTATGCAGAAAAAAATGCGTCAGGATGACAAGCTACGCATTTAACTGGGGCAAAGTGTGCAGTGAAAGAAAGCTGGAAGCAGGGTGTCTGCGGGGAATGACTCACCCATCTCCCTCTTTAGGGAAAGTGCTTCAATTCCTTCCATTCAGATGAGCTAAAGGGAACCTTCAAAGAGGTTAGAAGAAGGGATAATGTTTACTGTTCCCCAGACTGAATGAAAGGAAACCATTTTATAGACCTATAATTTTAAAGAACTGCCAAGAACTAAAATATAGTAAATCCTCTTATAAATGTCAAATTTGCAACACCAAGAGCAAAAAGACACCAAGGTTCACCAAAAACGATTAGCAAAAGAATGAAAGCTCTAGAACAGCTCTGGCTGACAGTCAACTCTCAAGAGACTCACTGGGGCTGCATTCTCTGCTACAGCAAGAATGGAAAACTTTGAGCCTTTTAATAAGGGCCATTCACGTTTGCCTTCCGAAATGTCCTGTGCAGCAATCTGACAGAGGTGGATAAAAACACAGAAACAGGCAGGGATCGTGTCCTAAGCTGCGAAGTGGCATCCTTGAGCAGATTCAATGTCATTTCTGAGGGAAGAGCATTTCTCATACCTGTCCTCCCACACCTTCCCCAGGCCTGTGTACTCCTCCTCAGAGAGCACATTCTTCACTCACCACACAAAAATACTTATCAACCTCAACATCTACGAAACTTGAAATGTTACAAGGGTAAGAGCAAAATCAGTGCCATGACCAGTCACTTTCTTTCTTGCAACACGAAATTTCACTTCTTGATCTTTGACACCAAAGGGATGTTTTGCCTACGACTTTGCAATTTTATGTCTACACTAAATTTCCTAAATGCAAGTATTCTTTACCTCGTCCAAATATTCCTTCTTTCTTTGACAAGGGTGGCACAATGCTCCTCCCATTTGAAAGAGAGCCTGCCAGTTGCATGGCATCGTGCCACTGAAGCTCTCCAGAGGCTCCTGAGCATCCTCCAAACCTAAGTGCATGGGACCTTCAAAGGTACAGGTACTTCCTGCCCCTTCTTTAGATCAAATCTTATCTTCTACTATCTCCAACTCATGCTCTGTTTCTGCAAGCTTATTCTCCTGTACAGTCTCAATTGCCAAACTCCAGGGTTTTGCTGAGGTTGCTCTAGTAGGAAAGAACACAGGCTTTGGAGTCAGACAGCTCTGGGCTCTTATCCCACTTCTGCCACTTATTAATTATGTGTAAGTCCCTCACCATCCCCACCTTGGTTTCCACAGCTGCAAGTAAGAATAAATAACGCCGATCTCACAGAGTTTTTGAGGGGAAGAAGACAGCTGCGTAAAATTTTTACTATATAACAGGCATTTTTTTTTAAACAGAAACTATTGTAATTAATAGTTGTGAAAATGTACTCCTTTTCTTTCTCCTGGCTTCCAAAGAGTCAGCTCAGGTCTGGACTGTGTCATTAATAAATGCTCTCTGGCCAAGAAAGTATTGAATGGTCCCTTTGAAAACCAGGAACAACAGAGTAAATATTTATATTATAATCACAATGGAGAGATTGAATTTATTTGCTCATGCCTGTGCAGTTTCTACCTAAAATCAGCTAACACTGTAAAACTGCTTTAACTTTTTAAAAAAAGAATCCAATGTTCAATCTTTTTTTTTGTCTCAACAGTACCTACAATGGACATCGTAGTTGTCTGAAATACACTCTTTTAGCATCTACTCACTAAACTTTTACTCTTCCTGCCAGGCTCAGCTCAAGGACCACCACCTCTAAGAAGTCTTCTTGCTACCACCAGATGGACTTTCTCCTAGGATTCCCCATCTTTCTACTGTAGCACATAATACACTGGACTATAATTATCTATTCCTGTCACTGCAGCCTTATTGCACAGCAAATTCTATCAGGACACAAATCTCAAAGGCAATTTATTCAATGTTTCTTTAGCTGAAATCCAGTTATCTATCTGTTCAAGAAGTATTACAGGCTTATATATAAGAAACAGCACTAAGACGTGAAGGCAGAAACTATCAACACAATGCATTTGTAATTTTCAGATAAGAAACGTGCCTACCATAGCTAATGAAGCACTTGGAGCAGGAGAGTCTTACAAAATAGTCAAAATAATGCTAATTAGTGCCAAACATGGAGGCAAAGTTAAAGAGCTGGAGTTTCCATGACAAAAGATACGCTGTCTCACTGTTTGACATCGGCATCAAAGCATTTATTAAAAAGTCAGTCTTGGGGGGCGCCTGGGTGGCTCAGTCGTTAAGCGTCTGCCTTCGGCTCAGGTCATGATCACAGGGTCCTGGGATCGAGCCCCACATCGGGTTCTCCGCTCTGTGGGGAGCCTGCTTCTCCCTCTTCCACTCCCCCTGCTTGTGTTCCCTCTCTCGCTGTGTCTCTCTCTGTCAAATAAATAAAATCTTTAA